GGAGGATGAGGAGGAGGAGGAGGAGGAGGAGGAGAAGTGAGGAGAAGAAGTGAGGAGAAGAAGTGAGGATATGATGAGGCTTGGGCTGGACTTGGCACCAACCCTGGGGCTTGTCCATCTTCCCTGGGAAACATGGAGAGTTCTCAGATCTTCCCAGGTGAGATGGATGAAAGAGAATTAAGATTTAGTACATCTGTCACAACCCACAGGGGCCTGCCCAAGCTGATTTTGTAGCCATTTCCTCCTTTGCCAACCCATGCTGGTTTTCCTCAGTCTCACAGGACTTGCCAAGGGACAGTGGCACATCCCTGCTACTCAACAAAACTTTAATAAAATGTCTATTTCAAAAACCCCAAACTTGTTTGGATTGGAAGGGACATTAAAGTCACCTTGGCATGGGCAGGGACACCTTGCACTACCCCAGGGTGCTCCAGCCTGGCCCTGGACACACAATTCCCACACAATCCAGAAGGCTGCCCTGCTCTGAGACACAGGTAAGGGGTGATCAGGTTCCAACCACAGGGAATCCATCTCTCCAAAGGAGCCAGAGCTTTGGGGAGCATGGACACATCCCTGCACGGGAGCCCAGGCTGTCAGCAGTGGCAGGGACACATGGTGGGGACAATGTTTGGGTGTGCTGAGGTCAGTGGGGGATTAGAGCCTTCCTTGGGTGCAGAATGACTTGGGGATCTCACGTGTCATGAGATCACTCCTGGGTTTTGTCTTGAACTCCCAAACAGCCAGAGCTCCTCTGCTCTAGAAACCCAGTGGGGTTTCCACAAGAGAAAAAATCTGATAGGGTTTTAGACACTTTTAGAAATTGCTGGGACATTAAAGGTTGAAAGAGGGTTTCTAAAGAGCTGCAGGGTGCTGGCCAAGAGCTGACATGTGAGGGATCCCCTTCCCTCTGGGTTAACACACCTGGAGCTGCTCAGGCCCTAACACCCCGGGGCTGCCCAGCCTCACCGTCTTGGTGGAAGTTGCCATGTTCTCCATCTCCTCATGGGTGACCCAGACATTTCCAGAGGACTGCAGGGAAGAGCAGAGGGGTCAGAGCAAACCAGCACAGAAACATGGCCTCAGTTCACCACCACCATGGAGTCACGGAATCACAGAATTATTAAGGCTGAAATATCATCAAGTGCAGCCCTCAGCCCAGCACCACCACCGTGTTCAGCACTAAACCATGTCCTCAAGTGCAGCATCCATTCATTTTTTGAACACTTCCAAGGATGGTGACCCCACCACTGGCCTGTGTAGTTGTGCCAGGGCCTGACCACCCTTTCCAGGAAGAAATTTCTCCCAATATCCAGCCTGAACCTCCCCCAGCACAGCTTGAGGCTGTTTCCCCTTGTCCTGCCCCTGTTCCCTGGCAGCAGAGCCTGACCTCCCCTGCTGTCCCCTCCTGGCAGGGAGTTGTGCAGAGCCACAAGGTCCCCCCTCAGCCTCCAGGCTGAGCCCCGCCAGCTCCCTCAGCTGCTCCTGCTGCTGCAGCCCCTTCCCCAGCCCCATTCCCTTCTCTGGACATGCTCCAGCCCCTCCAGGTCTCTGTTCACGAAGTGCCCAGAACTCCCCCAGGATTCCAGGTGTGACCCCAGCAGTGTCAGCACAGGGAATGGGGACTGTCCTGGGCCTGCTGCCACCACAGTGCTGGGACAGCCCAGGTTCTCTTGGTCTTTTTGCCCACCTGAGCACACCTGGGCTCATGTCCACCCTCTGTCAGCACCAGCTGTGCTGGAATCAAGCCCAGCTCTGGCTGGTGGAGGATCAGACCACCCTGTGCTTAGAACTGTCCTGGGGACACCCCACTGGGCTGTGCATGCAGCCACACACAGAGAGCACAGCAAGGACCTTCATTTAGATCCCTTTGCACTTTGATGCTCAAGGAGCCTGCAGGCCTATCCCCATCACACAGTCATCTGAGGGGGACACAGCAGCCTTCCTTCTGCCAGGTGCAGGTCTACACATGGCTTGGCATTACTTGGCCACCCCTCAATGCCTCTGGGGACCAGCAAAAGACACAATCCCTCCATCCAGCCAAGGGCAGGGATCTGCAGTTGCTCTCAGTTGCCCCAGGAATTTCAGACGGAAAAGGCTTGTGTTGAAATTATTGGGAGAGAGGCTGTGTGCAACCAAGCTGGCCTCAGGAACATTTGTATTTTTGCTCTCTGGATGGAGTTTTATCCTCTCCAGGGCAGCCAGGCCCTGAGTTCTGCTCTTTGCAGGGCTGGCCTCTGCAGTCAAGCCCATGTGAGTGGGGAATGAGTGTCCAGTGGTTTGAGCAGCCCATGAGAGGACACAGAGTGCTCCTAAGGGAAGGAGCAGGCTGCCAGAGGGGGTGAGGGGCACTCACCGTGCGGGACGTGGGCGGTGCAGAGGGGCTGGTGAGGGACACCATCTCCTGGATGGCCAGGCGCAGCTTGAGGCGGTGCAGGGCGTTGCTGATGCCGATCTCCCGCTGGATCTCGGTGTCCGACAGGGCTGACATGATGGCCCCGCTCTTGACGTTGGCCCGGCACGCAGCCACGTACCAGGCTGGCATCCCTACCCAGAGCTGGGGACAGGGACACAGTGACTGCCTGGCACTGCCACCCTGGCTCCTGTGCCAGGGGCAAGGCCACCCTCTCCAGAGCCCAGTATCGAAGCTGAATGTCCACGTGGGGTTCTGGGTCTGGTTGTACCTTGCAGAGGTGGCCTGTGGGCATCCTTGTGCCTGATGGGCACAGCACAGGGAAGGTGCACCCATGGAGCTTTTCATAGAATCATTAAGGTTGGAAAAGCCCTCTAAGATCAGTTCCAACCATTTCTCTAGCACTGCTGCATTCACCACTTTCCCATGTCCCAAGTGCCACATCCACACATCTTCCAAACATTCCAGGGATGGTGACCCCACCACTGCCCTGGGCACTTGTGCCAGGGCCTGATCACTCTTTCACTGAAGAACTTTTCCCCAAACCCAACCCAACCCTCCCCTGGCACAGCTCGATGCCGTTTCCTCCTGTCCTGTCCCTGTTCCCTGGGAGCAGAGCCCGACCTCTCCTGCTTGTCCCCTCCTGGCAGGGAGTTGTGCAGAGCCACAAGGTCCCCCCTGAGCCTCCTTTTCTCCAGGCTGAGCCCCCCCAGCTTCCTCAGACACTCCTCATCAGACTTGTGCTCAAACCCAAAGCTCTACTCAAACCACAGCTCCACGGGCTCTGAGGGATCCAGGGATCTCTCCCAGGATTTGAAGGCCCCAGACATGAGCATGGACCAAGCACGGTGGGACATGGTGGCACGCACACACTTGTGGGGACAGCATGGGGACAACCCATGGGCACGCACCTCCAGCCAGGACACAACAGTGGGGCCATCCCAGTGGGCAAAGGGCAATCCTTTCCTCCGAGCCTCTTCCAGGAGTTCATGCCTGGCAGGAACAGAAGCAGAAAAGTGATTTATGGGGGCTTGTGGGGAAGGGAGAGTTCCTGGAAGGGAATGGGCCCTGGGCAGTAGGGAGCAGCTGGAGACAAATCTGTGAAGGAAGTGACAAGGCCCAAGGGAGGGTGAAGGTGAGAGTTCCCAGCAGTTCCTAATCCTGTGCCACGGCTTCCCAGAAGATCAGTTTCTCGCTGGGGTACAGAAGGAAGTTCACTCACTTCTTCCGCAGGCGCCGGTCCTTCTCGGCCTGAGCCCCCAGCTTGCCCAGTCCCAGGGGGTCCTGGATGCCTCCCTCCACGTCAGTCAGCAGCACTGCTGGGCAAGCAAGACACCCTCAGGTCAGTGTGACCTCCCCCAGGGCCGGTGTGGGCATGTCCCCACACCAGGGGGACACACAGTGACAGCACAGGAGGTGAGTGTCCCTTTGCAGCCTGCCCCATGCCCCCCTGCTTCCCTCAGAAGCTCGAGCAGACCCCCTCCTGCCATCCCTCCTGGTTTCCAAATCCCAGAATCCCAAAGTCACAGAACAGTCCCTTTGCAAGGGACACAGGCAGATCACTGAGTCCAACAATGCTCAGCATGGAAGCAGTAAAGGATTTAGGAGTGGAAAATCAGTTCCTACCAAAATCCATAGGGAGGGAAGTAGATTTGGGGACACTGAAGATGAGATACATGACAGACAGGTCACTGTCCACACCCCAGCTCTGACAGAGCGTTAAGATGACACCATGCTCAGGCCAGAGAGGCCAAGGGGAGCAAACACTAAGCTCCATCTTCCCTGGAGCTGCCAACACCCCCAAACCAGCAGGAGGTGTCCCTGCCCCTCCCCGTCACCCCAGACAGTGCCCTGTCCCCAGTGGCAGACAGAGCCAGAGGGTGTGGGGAGCCTGGCACAGTGACAGGGCTGCTCACAGACCCTGCCCCGTGGCCCCTTCTCTGCTCAGCTGGATCAAGCGACCCTTCTCTTTCTTCCCAAACAGGCGCCCGATGGAAGACTTGATCCCCTTCCTCTTGGAACCCTTGTGCAAGGAGTCTTGGCTGCTGCTGGGATTGCTGGCCTGCTCCTCCAGTGAGCTGGGGATGGAGGAGGGAGAGGAAGAGCAAAGCCTTTAGGTTATTCTCGAGCAGGGCACAAGCCGTGGCAAACCCCAGCCCGCCCCACATGCCACGTGTGCCCCAGGAATGCCCTCAAGTGGGATGCCAAGGGTCTCCACACACCTCTTGCCATCCTCCTGGCTCAGGGCAGGGTGGCCCAGCTTCTCCAGCCGCAGTGCTCTGGGTGACGACGGCGGGGACGTCTCACACTTGATGGTGGTTTTGTCCTCCCGGCTCTCATCCCGAGCTGCAGGCGACTGAACAAGAGGAGAGGCCGTGAGGGTGGGAGGCCAGAGCCCAGCTCCATCCTTGCCCTGCTGCCTGCCTCTCTCTTGCTCCATGGAGGCATGGCCAAAAGAGCCACCAGAGGCCTGGGGCTTTGCCACGCTCCAGGAATGGCCTGAATGAGAGCTCTGGCAATGGCTCCAGCTGCCCAAGCGGATGGGGAGGATGTGGCAGGATGGCTGAGATCCTGGGAATGGGGGTGAGAGGATGCAGCCCCATGGTCCAGGTCAGGGTGCGGGGACAGAAACTGCTGGTCCTCATCAGAGGGCTCTGAGAAGCACAGATGGAAATGTCCCAAGGACACCCTGTTGCCAGAGGGGACGCAGTGTTTGAGGACCCAGTGGCTTTCTGAACCTCCCCACGTCCTGCCAGCCCCCCCAGGCTGCTGGTGGGAATACGTCCAAGCACCTTTCGGGATCCCCATGATCCTCCTGCTGAATCCCTGGGGTCCCCAGCTCCATCCCGCGCCTGCTGCACCCTGACCTGGTGTGGACAAAGCCAGGAGCAGGCTGGAAAAAGGGCTTGGACAAAAACCAACGGGATGGGAGCCACTCACTAGCAGTTTCCTCCGGTGCTTCCTCAAGTCGCTGGGCTGATTGCAAGGGGGAAAGCGAGAGAGACACAGAAAGGGGGCAGTTAATGGAGCACGCCCCCAGAGCAGTCCCAGGGCCAGGCTGCCAGGCTGGAGACAGCAAACATGGGCACCCCGTTGTCCCACACCCCCCACAGGCCCGTGTGGACACTGGGCATCGCTCCCACCTCACAGCCAGACCCCCGCCAGCCCCGGCCCCTCCGGCTCCTCACCAGCGTCATGATCCCCATGCGGTCCAGGTCCTGCGCGGCGCTGCGGGAGCTCAGCTTGGGCGTGGAGCGGCCGCTGAGCGGTGGGGATGAGCTGGCCAGGGACAGGGCTGTCAGAGAGGTGGGGATGGAGGCCCTCTTGCACAGCTGGGTGAGGTTCAGGCCCTCCATGCTGCCGCTCGTGACCCGTGTCTCCAGCTCCTCTGCGCGGAGCTCCGTGGACTCCTTCTCCTCCTGGATCATCCTGGGGGAGCAGCAGAGCTCAGGGCTCCTGGTTCCCCATCTTCCCAGGGACACAGAACCTCTGCCCTGGGGAAATGCACCTTGGTGCTGCACCTCAACCCCTGATTTCCAGCAATGGCAGCAAGATCCATCAGGATCCTTAAGAACCAGAGCTGGGACACACCCCGATTCCTTTAAATATCCATAAAAGATTTTATAGAAAATAATGATCCTTTGAAATAATGACCCTCTGAGCCAGCACTGGTGCAGCTGAGGGACAGGGAGACACGGCAGGAAGGACCAAGCCCTGTGGCTGGATGTCCTAGAGCCACTTCCCTGGCTGAAGACGCACCAAGGCCCCAGTTTTAGCAGCAGAGTCTCCTGGCTGTTTTTTGTCCCCCTGGAGCCATTTCTGCACAGGGCAGTGGTGGGTTTTGGCCATGGTGATACCTGATCTCTTCGTTGATGGCATCCAGCTGCTCCTGAAGCATCATGGCCAATGTCTGAGCATCTGAATGCCCACCAGGAGAGAGGACATCCATGGAGCTGAACAGCGTCTCGCGGTCGTCCTCATCCATGTCGGAGATGTCGGGGTCGCTGTCGAAGGCGTGAGGCCCCGTGGCCAGGACCCCACCTGCCTGGGCCTGCTCCCAGTCCTGGGGGAACAAGGGCCACAGTCCTACACAGCATTCCCACGTCTCCAAAAGCCAGACTGGCGACCTCCATGCAGGAATTCCATCTCAATGTGACCCTAATGGGAAACCCTTCCGATGTTCCCTCATGAATGCAGCAGGGGAAGGAAACTGCCCCACATCTCCAGTCTGACCCCAACCCCAGGATGCAGGGCAGGAGCAGACCCAAGCACTGGGGTGCACAGGGTTTACCTTGGCTGGCTCCTCTCTCCGGGCACCGAACCGTCCCTTCTGTGCCCGGGGCAGCCCCGGAGCTGCTCCGAAGGGCTCGGCTGGGGCGTGGACCACAGCTCCCAGCGGGAAGCGCAGGTCAGTGGCACTGCCCATGTGGGACCTGGGAAGAGAGAGCCCTGTGGGGGACATTGCTCTGTGCAGGACACACTCACACTCAGGCTGCTCCCCTTAAAGTCCAGGCGTTCTGGGACGGAGGAGGAGGAGGAGGAGGAGGAGGAGGAGGAGGAG